ATATAATAAATAATAATGGACTATATTACAATGTTTATTAAATATTACAATAGAAAAAAAATAAATAGAAAATTTCACTGTCCTTTAAATAGTGTCAATTTATTATACCACTATCTTAAAGATGGGGTTTCATTTGTTGACTTTAAACTATAGTTTACTTTAAGCTTGATTTAGATGGAAGCAACTGATTTTATTAAAAGAGTTAAATGGTCAGCTAATGGACTACTGATTTTTAGACTGTGTGATTTTAATGAAATGAATATATTAGAGTTGTAAAAATGATTGAGAACTCTAGTTTGGAGATATAATGAGTTCACAGGTTGATTTTTATAGTTGAATGATTTTAATAATTTTTCAGTTTGCATACAAATGAAAATTACATCGTCGCTGGGATAATGTAGTCCTCCTTTATTACCTCCTTTATTTTTAACAGCAATTAAAGAGTTACAAAAGGGTTCTCGGTTTTTTGAACATAAGGATTGTTGGCAAGTATTACAGTTAATGGTTGACAACAATTTATGCACAACAAATAATGCAATATAAATTATCACCTCCTTAGAGAAATTAGAAAAATCATACACATTTTGATGACAAATATAATTATGGTCATTTATAAATGAATCGACCTCTTCAATATTTTTTTCAGAAAAAATAATATCTTTATTATTGTTGAATGTAGAACTATTTATTGTTTTAATTGGATCAGTACTGGAATAATGCAGTATGTCAATATTTTCCAAAGGAATGCAGAGTCCAGTACTAAAATTACCAACGTTATGTGATTGTATTACCAACTTCTTGTATGCGGATTGAAATTGGCGTGATGAGGGATTATTGTTGTAACCACCCATTGCTCATACTGAACCAAAAACAACTCCAAATGATCTTGACTTATTTTGTACATTATAATTTGGTCTAAGATATTTGAATTATTTAAAGTTGAATACAAGTGTAAGGTAGAATTCAAACTGTTGCATATTCAGCATTTACATTGTATACTAAACGTTTATATTAATAATAATAATCATAAGTATCATATTACGATCGGTGGGGATTGTCCATCGGTCATTAGCAAGTAGACAATTTTATATGTACGTCAGTTCGTTTTATACTTTTCACAATAAAAGACTATAATATACGTTTGTGTTATTATTCATATTAACAATACACAACACAAACATACAATGAATCCTAGAAAACCAGTCTTTCTACTTGATTCTAATACAGGTACAAATACACCTTTATCTTTCACTTTCAGTCCTCTTATGTAATCAGTCATTAACTTTGTAAATTCAAACACTTGTTGAAAATTTTCTTTGCAAATAGCTTTTTTATTTCCAATACAGTTGATCCATCTAGAATTGAGAATAACAAATTAAACATCGCGATAAACTTTACTGTTCTATCTACATTTGAAAATTCTTTAAGGCCTAAATTATGCTTACAAAATTTTAATGATTCTGCCATAGATTGTCTTAAAAGTTGTGAGACCAATTTTACCTTCATTATCTGCTTGAAAAAAATATATGACTTTTTCGTAAATTGTTTGCTAGGTGGCAGCCTTCATCCTCCTGAATCAAAAATAATTTTTCCACTAAATTGAAACATATTTGTTTACCATTCCCATCAATAAATTCTCGTTTCTCTCCAAAAGCATTCCGCACAAGCTTGACCATATGAGCTGGATCCATAAATACAGCGATATTATCAAATATACTATTTAAATTATTTGCAAGCAAATCACAGCCTAATAAACGCGCTATTGTTAAATTTGAAGAGCAACCATCAAATGTTAAGCTTGCTATAGAAATTCCTGTTCCTTTCAATAGGTTTAAGGCGTGCTTCGTAAGTTCAGCTTTTTGAGCACCAGTTAAGGAAGAAGCTTGGAAATACCCAACAGGTATTTTCCAGTTTTCATTCATAGATACAACCATAAACACTAAACATTCTTTAGCCAATTCCAAAATATCATACTCTAAGCCAGTTCCAAAATCTAATCTCCCATAATAATTTTGTCCATCAAAATCAAGCTTCTGACGAATAGCCATTTCATCAAGCATTAAACTACAAATTACTGGTTTATTAGCAAACTTTACTTTTAAGGTAAGCATATTTAAAGCTTCACTAGTGAACCCTGGTTTAGCATCCACATGCGAATACCATTTCGATAAAGTTCGAATATGTGGTAGTATGGTATTAAATTACTTTCTGACGTAATTATAAGCTTTAGCTGATAAAACATGCAAGGAAAAAGCAAATTGCCTTAAAGCTGGGCTGCATTTTTTGGGTACATTTTCGTTATTATTTTTCTTAGACCAATTAGTAATTAAATCTTTGTATTTACCAAATGAATCTAGTAAGATATCTGTGGCGTCGTCGTTTATAAGATTTTCTTTTTTCAACTGAAGTATTATACCTTTTAGAGATGCAATTTTTTTTCTTTACTCCTTAATGTTTGTTGTAGTGTTTTCAATTGTTTCCTCTTTGTGGCCATTTGTTTTGACAATTTATGAATTCCAAGCTTCAAACACCGTCGCCTTGGAGTATCATCAACAGTAATGCTACTAGAAGCAGCTAAAAATGAAGGATTCACATTTTACTAAATAAAATATAAGTACAAAATGTTAAATCATAACATTTATTAAAAGTAAGAAGATTGCATTTGATTCTAAAGAAAATTACTTCAACCGTAGTATTCAAACTGGTAGAATTAGATAACACACTATCATCTAATAACGACACTCCTTCGCAGTCAATATTTTTAGCAGATACCTAAATGCAAAATTCAATGTTTTAATGGTTAATTATAACTTATTAATATTATTATGTAAATATATATATATAATTATATAAATAAAATTACTTGAATAGAACGATTCTCAACATAACTAGTTGGATGATTTGAAAGATTTATATAAGATGTCATTGATACATCCAACTGTGGAAAATCTTTGTGTGAAGTGATTGATCTTTCACTATCAATTCTGCTGGTAGATGTCTGAAAATTGCATAAATGATTAAATAGTTTAGATATACCTTAATTAATTAATATACATTATATATATATATAATATGTATTAAAATTTAAATAAATATATTACCTTTACTAAAGACTTGTTCATATCAAGAATGGGAGTGGCAATACTTGCCAAGCAAACCTTTTTATTAGATTTCATCGATACATCCAACTGTGGCAAATCTTTATCTGAAGTGATTGATCTTTCACTATCAATTCTGCTGGTAGATGTCTAAAAATTGCATAAATAATTAATTCATTTAGATTTTAGATATGACTTAATTAAATATCACATAAATATATATAATAATATGTATTAAAATTTAAATAAATATATTACCTTTACTAAAGACTTGTTCATATCAAGAATGGGAGCTGCAATACTTGGCAAGCAAAGCTTTTTTTCAGTGTATCAATTTCAGGACAATCATACAGGTTAATGATGGGTACTTTCAATTCATTTTAGTGAACTAATTCATGTGATTCAGCTCATTAAAATGTCATTGAATCAATTCATTACCGTAAAACCGGGTGAATAGAAACACTTTTCAACTTCAAAAGTTAATAACTTTGGAATGGAAATAACAAAACAGCATATTAATACCTTAAAATTTGGGTATTTAAACACACAATACAATCATTAAAAATTAAAAGAACTAAATTTCAAAATTGATATTATATATATTTTTAAGTATGCTGTTTCTATTCATACTCATGTATGGGTGAATAGAAACAAATATATAAATGTAATATGATTTGTTAATCACCCTGTTTGATTGTGAATAGAAACAGTTTTTGAAGTTTGAAAAAAAAAAAACAATGTTTTTACAATACAAATTATATATTTTTTTTTTTTTTTACATAATATAACAAAACAAAATTAATTATTTACTTTTTAAATATTATAACAAATTACATTATAAATATTCAAATAATAGGCCAAGCAGTGTTTTCGTTGCTTTATACAAATTTATAATAACTAGTCTTTTGGTTCATACTTACATAAAATTAACAAAAATTATAAAATTACATTTATAATTAACAAAAAAAATAAATTTAGTCTGAATCTTTTAAATAATAATAATTAACAGTCTTTATGTTGCATACGATTAAAAATTTTAAATATTAGGAATAATTTAATCATAATGACTTGTAATTCAACTTAAATTTATACAAACCTCTCTTATAGACTTCAGGATTAGTCAATTTACCAATTATCTGGTCAAAATGAAAATTACATTCATCTCTGACATTTGGAAAACCATAAATAAATCCATAGTGGTCTCTAGAATTAATATGTCTCTAAAAAGTTCCATCAAAGTTCTTCTGTTGTATGTTACAATTTATAAATCTAACAATATAATATTTATACACAATATTGCTGTTTGAGGCTTTACTTGTCGTAGTTTCAAAACTTACTAGTAACCAATTATCCTTTTTGATTTCATTTGGTCCATTTATTGGAAAAACGTGGTCAAATTGTTTATTATGTTTAACCAATTGTTGATAATTTAAAGAACATTCAGAATCATTATCATCTTCATCTGTATCAGAAACAACAGCATGTGTAACATCATTAACTTCATCATTAGGTTCATCTGGTTGGTCCATAGTTAATGATTCAGAATTTGAATCGTCATTGTTTTCATCAGAATCATTTGTGGCTTCAACACTTTGACCTGGCAGAACGTTCAATTTTTTCCTTTTTCGGCGAATCACTTTTGTTTCGCTACTCCTCATAGTTTTAAGAAAATCTCAAATTGAACTATTCACATCATCAGTTGTATTTTCATAGTTGTCCTCACTAGGCAACATATTTAAAACTTTATCTCGATTTAACGGATAAATGCCACATTTTTCAAACCCAGCTTTTAAATTGTCAGTAGATTTCTCGTTAATGGTTTTCATTAATATATTAAGAAGCCTAGGAAAGCGGTCTTTTGGTACACTACATTCATCCCTTCCTTCTCCTTTTTTCCAAGTTTCAAGAATCTTCCTCCAGTGACATTTTAAAGGTTTTAAAGAATGCCACATCTAGAGGTTGAGTAAGATGTGTAGAATTAGCTGGTAAAAACACAAATGAAATATTATATTCTTGACACAATTTAATTGCATCTGTGGATATATGGCTTGATAAATTGTCTCCTATAAAAATTTTTCTACCAGGTAATTTTCTCAAATAAGGAATGGCAATACTTCTTATCCAATCATCAAGCGCATAGCTATCAAACCATCCTGACTTACTAGATGCATACCTAGAACCTTTTGGACCGTTCATTCTCCAACTATTGGATATTGTTTTAGCCTTGTAAACTTTATAAGGTGGTAAAAAAGTTCCATTAGCTGATCCAGCCAACATGATTGAATTTGAAGTCTTACTATGGTTCATTATACGTTCTGGATATTTAGTAGGTACCTCAATTTGTAATAATTTTTTTTGCATCCAGGATCGTCGGTTAGGTTTGTCTCATCATAGTTTAAAATATTACTATAAGGTAACCCATCCAAAGAAATTGCAAGTTTATCAAAATATTCAGATATTGTGATTCTTGATATACCTGCACGAGATCGTTTTATGTTTTGGCACATTCTTACAGCTAAAATGTCTTTGTTCTTTTTCAAAAAACTATTGACCCAATCCCATCCCGGCATATTTCCATTTTTTAAATTATTAATTTTTTTTACCCCTACGATCTAGATACCCTTTAACTAATAGTCTAACATCAAATTTATCAAATAGATATCCCCATTCAGAACACAGTAAAATACCTGCAATTATTAAATTCCCTTCCTGTTTTGTGTGTGAAGTTTGTTTTTTCATACGTGGATTCATACGTGGATTTTCTTGTATATAACAGAATGGTGAATACCATATACTTTTGCAGCCTCTCGGTACGACATTTTTTTATGCTTAATACACATAACAGCATTTGCTAGATCACATTTACTTGGAACTTTATAACGGTTGCTCCGAGGTTCTGGATTATATTGATTGGGCATGTTTCTATTCACCCTAAAATTAACAAATCTAAGTTCAACAATTTATTATAAATTGTATAATAGTTATAACGAGTTTATACTTACGTTACATAAATTTATACAAGAATTTTTTTTCTTTGTAAAATAGATTGAGTGGATTTAAAAATTGTTTTGTGATAACGAATTTGCGCTTCATTTTTGGAGGCAAAATATTCTTATCAAAATAAATATTTTAAAGATAATAATTTTGGTTTGGAGGTAAAAGTAAATACTGTGTACCGTTGTTAACAACATTACCAATTATTTCATGGAAGAAAAATACACATAAATAAAAATCATTTCAGGATACCAATCATTAAAAGTTATTACCAAAAAGTGTTTCTATTCACCCCTCAGTTTCTATTCACCCGGTTTTACGGTATATTTACATTTTATAATTGTAACCATTATTTTAAACCTAAGGGCTAATAATTATTTATATATAATTTATATCTTTATATATATAATTTTACTGTACGTGTGTTGGTAAGTAAACTCCCCCTAAACGGCTGGACCGATTTTGATAAAAATTTTTGTGTGTGCTTGAGTAGTTGAATGGGCCTTTGAATGGTTTAGGTTCACAATCGGACCCGGTAGACCCATTCCGGGGAGGTGCTCAAACAGGAATGTTGAGATTTACGGTGGATATTTTTGTTTATAAATTATTGCCATGGGTTTTAAAGCTATTATAAAAAGAAATATTGGTTGAAATCAGAAATAATTTATAATCAACGTTAATATAATTAAAACCAAAGAAAATTTTAAAGTTTAAGTCATATAGATTTGGTACATTTAACGGGTCAAAGTACACGGGATCAGCTAGTTTACATATAAAGTCAAATTGACAAACGTTAAGTATAATATTAAATTAAAAATGAATCACTGTCACTGTATTATTTATGTGTTAATAGTTTATATTTATTTACATTGAAAATACAAAACATAAAATGTATAATATGTTGTGGTTGTTTTCCCTTTAATTATATTTAATAGTTATTAGGTATACCAATAATAATTATTTATTTATTTTTTATTATTTATAAAATCATAAAACCAAACAACAGTATGATTTTTTGAGTACTAAAATGAGATTGGAGACGGAATAACTTTTTGTAAATTTATTTGGAAAATATACAATACCAGTTTTGCAACAATTGTTTATATTTTTCATTTACTAAATTAGTATAGTATAATATAAATACTATATATATTATCGTAAATATTATATTCTCTGGTCGTCTTATCTTAATAGCATCAATGCCAATATATATGATTTATCTGTAAAAATGTGCTTCTAGTTTTTTCTATATATTATTTATATATATGATAACAAACGCGATTTTCAATTCACGATTGTGATTGGTCGCGCAATTTTGCTCCCGAGACGCTCGTAATAAAACCGAGCGAGTGTATTAGAAAGAGATTTCGTACCTTTTTTATCTGCATTCTGCAGTATATCAGTATATTATACATTTTATAACATCAAAAATACGAGAGATGTAGGTAAGTGGCGGGCATCAACTAAACTTGAGTGGCGGGGGAATTGCCTTCCTGGCGGGGAAAAGGGTTGTTTTGACGAGTTAAGAACGCTGGTGCAAAAAAAATTTGCGGAAATTATTATTTTGGAAATTATATCCTCCCAAAGTTAACGATTTTACGTTTATACGCATGCGTGCAACACTACTTTATAGTATTATTACCGTGCGGAGGACCTCGAGATTTTTATTTTAAAAGTTACAAGTCACATTTTGTTTTATTATGTTTAATTTTTATTAATTATTCAAAGCATTCATTTGCATCAGTTTCACATTCATTTTCATCTTCATCTACAATTTGTGGACGATTTTTTTGCACCATCGTTCTTAACTCGTCAAAACAACCCTTTTCAAAAAAAAAAAGGTGCCATGTAAACTAGACTTATACCTAAATTATTGGTCATTGAAAATACAAAATTTAAGTGGCGGGCGTCAACTAAACTCGAGTGGCGGGGAATTGCCTTCCTGGCGGGGGTCAACTAGACCAGTACTCAAATAACATTGATATTATAAAATCTCATTGAACATTTGTTATTTTTTCTTCATAAATAATAAATATTATTATATAATGATTCTAGGGATGATTAAGACCTTCAAGTAATAAACACAGAATAATATTATTTAAAATTCCAAATTAAAAAAAAAAATGAACATATTTTTTTAAATTTTTAAATAATATAATTTATGTTGCTATTAACATATTTACTAAAATTTCTTTTCATAATATATATTACATTGATAAATATTTGTATAGGGTTAATTAGAACAAGCTCAAAGTAGCACAAATCTTTCAGTTGTTTAAAAAGTATGTTTGTTGATGTTGGGGTCCAAACAAAACTAACTGGCGAAGAATTAGATAAAACAATACAGGATTTTAGTAGAGAAATGAAAATTCTCCAACAAAAACTTATAAGAAGAAATATTTGAGTAATTAATATGGGAGAAATGATACATTTTTTAAGAAAAAATAATTTAATTGAAGACAGTAGAAGATATTTTTAAAAATCAATTTAATTCTTCCCTACTGTTCATATTATTTCAAAATGAAATTGCAAATGTTAAAAATCAAGCAAACTACAAGTCATACTCCGAAAAAATTCGTGAATTTTTAATTTTTATTCTCCTCGAGCTTATGATCTTAAACGCCAGAGGAGTACACTACCTGATCCCTCCACAATTCGTAGGTGGTTGACAACCGGACACTGCAAACCTGGTGTTATATGTGAAGTCATAGAGTATTTTAAACACAAACTTAAAACTGAAACATCTGCATTTTCACATGTTACAGATGTTGCTTTAATTTATGATGCTATGTCTATAAGAGATGGATTTTGGCCAGATCAAAGTGGTAAAGTTTATGTCTACTGTGATCTTGGTGGTATTGCTCATACGAATACTGAAGAGTTAGCTAAAGAATCTTTAGTATCCATTATTAGTAGTCTGAGTAAGAAATTCAAGTGTCCTGTAGTATATTTCTTTATTAATAAAATTAATGCAACTGTACAGTCAATTGGTACTTGCCGTTATTTCAGCCCTTTATGAAGCTGGGATTATAGTTAGATCTTTAACTAGTGATGGAACAAGCACTAATTTAAAAACTTATGAAAATTTATGTTGCTGTTTAGATCCTTCAAATTTGAAATCTTCATTTACTCATCCAGACATCTCACATATTAACATCCATTGCATTGTGTAGATCCGTATCATCTAATGAAAATATGTCGTAACTATATGGCTGAACTAAGTTTATCGCATTCTGAAGGTACAATTTCCTTTGAATATATAAAAAAAACTTAATGAAATACAGCAAAAATAAATTTAAAAATTTTCTAATAAACTAAGTTCTTATCATATATTCTATAAGTCTAAGAAAATGAATATAAATAATATATATAAAAATTTAGCTCTCGATTTACTTAAAAAAGAGAATGGTCCGTTGAGTTACTTCTTACCTTATAAGACATCACAAAATCATGTGGAAATTACATTCTCGTGCATAAGGTCACCTGGGGGATGGAACAATAATCCTTCCGCCTTACAATTTAGATGGTGTATTCGTAAAATGTTATACAGAAATTCAGTACCATCAAGTAAAAATGCCAAATATCAAGAGTATACTGACAATTGTCAAATATCTCATGGGATTATCACACTTACCCATGAAAAAAGTACTAGTTTTGATGAAAAAGTTATTGATGACGAAGCAACCGATGAAAAAGTTTCCTCATTTTCGTATCTAGATGATAATATATTCAGTCATAATCAAATAAATACCTATATTATATTATATAGCAGGAAATGCAACAAAAAAAATTCTTGATAAATTTCCTTGGATATTTTGTAAAGATTTAATTTTAAAAAAGACCACGATTACTCCTTATCACCAATAACTGATTGTTTAACTTTTACAAATTTTAAGACACGTCGCAATTTGAAGTGTGTTCAACATTTACTTTTGATATTATATTATTTAGTGAAACATGTTATCAAACATATTCTGCAAATATGAAAGAACATAATTAAAAAAAAAAATATATAGTAAAAGTTCACCGACATTTTATATCTAAAATAAGAAATTTGAAGCCTGAACATCCAAGAACTGATACTTTTTCTTTAGTCACATGAAATGAAAATTCATATCATCATATTATTGTACCTACCTTAAGAGTTTATACACAGTGTAAACAGTTGACACAAAAAAACCATGGTCCAAAGTCATCTTTAAGACATAAATCTACGAAACTAATTTTATTTAATCACGTTTAAAGCTTAAGTTTGTACCTACAATATATTATGGAAATGACAGTAACAATTATTTTTATTTTTAATCAGTATGATATATCAATACTCAATAGTCTATATCAACTATCAATAATCAATGTATAATAAATAATTTTAAGTGTTAATTTTTTGACTTGAATTATAAAAAAGATGTTAGATATGTTAGATTTGTCATATAATAATTTTAAATAAAGTTTTATTGTAAATAAATGTAGTAGGAAAGATGGATGAGGAATAGAGACTGTTGATACAGTGCAACAACAACATATGTTGGATCCAGAGATCCAGAGATTTTGAAAAATAATAAAAGTTTGGAGTTAACGAGCTTTAAAAAAAAAATAAGACCACTTTAGTTGACAGTCTTAAAAATATTCGTTGGAAAAGATGTATTTATATAAGAAAACAAACACAATATTTTGAGAATGAAGAGAAATGGGCTCAGGAGAAACACAATGCCCAAGAATTGCGAGCTCAATAAAAACATGAGTGGGAACGAGCAGTTCGAGCACATTACAAATTAATGTGCATAGGCAGATATTGGGGGGGGTCTTGGGGGCTTAAGCCCCCCCCCAGAATGTAATCAAGCCCCTCGGAAGGTTTTAGTATCTCTACTTAAATTACAACAAACAATATTGATACAATTGTAGAAAATAATCAAAACTTAAAAAAAAAATAAAAAAATATTGTTTGTAAGAATTTATTTTCAACTGTTCCCCTTAATTACCGCTGATAAGACCTTTATGTCCTATCCATATCTTTATTATCTATGATAAGCATGAGCATTGAGAGTAAACAAGTTGGTAGCACTAATAGGTTTTAAGGTTTGACATAACCTTAAAACCTATTACCTGAAACAATTTTTCATTTCCGTCGTCGCCGTTTGCCGTTAGTCGTTACTCGTTTCATGTTTGGCGTTTGCACATGGTATAATAGTATATGCACAGACTATATTTTATTTTCATAAAGTATATGTTTTCTGCGGTTTGCACGTTTTCTATGCTTCAAAATAAATTATATATATTTTCTAATTGACAATTGTACTTGTTAATCATTTTTATTTTATGTAAATTATGTTATTAATTTATAATGGCTAAGTGTTTGACATTTTTAATATCAAAAATCAGAAATTAGTTGTTACTAATTCTTCATCAACGACAACACTAGAATCTCAAAATGAACAATTAAATATTGGTATAGAAATTGATATAACTGCACAAAAAAGTATTGAAAGTATTGTAGATGAGAATAATGTCATTTGTGACTTAAGAACTTTAATAACAGGCCCTGTTCGACCAATTTTAAAAGTAAGTATAAATATTGGTAAATTGAGTTTAAGTAATGTTAATTTGAATTATATAATATTATTGCAGTCATATCCACTAACTAAATTTGGTACACAAAATCGCGCGTTCAATGATAAGCATTACAAAACATATGAATGGCTTGAATATAGTATATCGAAAGATTCTATTTTTGGCTTTGCTTGTAGAAATTTTAACTCTGGAAATAGTGGCAATTCTGAAGATAGCTTTCTAGTTGGTTTTAGAAATTGGAAAAAAGCAAGTGCTTTGTTGCTTTGTATTTATACTTGATTCATTAATTTTTGTAATGTAATTATTAATGTATATTATAATTTATAGTTGGGTGTTAGTAATGGAACTAAAGGCGGAAATAAAAGTAAACTTAATAAATTGGATACACATGCTAAAAATAATTTACATTTAACATGTATGGTTAAATGGTCAGCATATCAGAAGACAAAAGAAACAGGGAGTGTTAATTCTCAAATATCTTCGCAGCAATCTTCTATTTTTTGATGGTTGAAAAAAATAGAAAATATATGAAAATATTAGTTGATATTGTTCTATTTATAAGTTGTCAAGGAATTGGTTTTCGAGGACACGACGTGACAAAAGATTCTTTAAATCAAGGTATTAAACTAATAACTAATAACTAATAATATTGCTATTATTCTGAAATAATCTTAAATGTAAAATACTAAAATATTTCATTATGATAATATTATTTGTAGAAAATGCAATATATTTTCAGGAAACTTTAAAGAAATATGCAAACTTTTAGAAAAAAATTATGAGGAATTTGCAAAAAAATTTAATCTGAAAACCAATTATTCAAGTCATATCATTCAAGATGAACTTACAAGTATAGTTGCAGATGTTGTGAAAGAAACGATTGTGAAAGATGTTGAGGTGTTTGGAATTATGTGTGATGAAGCAAGGTAAAATATATATTATATAATATGTTTTATATAGGTATGGTCTAGTTGTTTCATTTTTATTAAATTAATTTATAGGTGTTACAAACAAGAACAAATGGCATTATGTGTAAGATATGTCAAAAATCTAGATGTCGTTGAGAGATTTCTTGGTTTTATAGATTGTTCTAAGAAACAAGATGCTGAATCTTTATATCAACACATATTATGGTATCTGAAAAAGTGTAAACTTAGTTCTAAACCACAAATAGTTGCTCAGTCATATGACGGTGCGAACGTTATGTCTGGGAAATTTAACGGACTACAAAGTAAAGTAAAAAGTCAATATCCTTACGCTATTTATACGCATTGTATGGCACATAAAATGAACCTCATTGTCATTGATATGTGTAAATATGTAAAGGTAATATATATTTTTATATACCACCTATTTTTATATCAATGATTTTAGTTTTTACTTATTATATCAATATTAGGAAACGACGAATGTGTTCAATACTTTAGAATCCCTATACATACATTTTTCACACCCGTCAAAAAAATCAACATTTAATTAAGATTCAAACCAATCTGGGGATAAAACATAGGTCAATGATTAGACTCAGTGACACTAGATGGAACTGTCGCTATCGAAATATAGAGTGTGTTAAAGCAAGTTATAAAGCAATTATTCAAGCTTTAGAAGAAGAAATCGAAAATGAAGATGATAGCGGAGTAAATGAAGCAATTGGTATATTATAATAACTAATAAGTAATAATTTATTAATGAATAAAAAGTTTTTAAAGTCCATTTTTTTTTGTTTTAGGAATATTAGCAAATTTAAAAAGTGGACGATTTATAGTTTATTTATTGATAAATAAATCTTACATAAAGTATAAATTAATATTAATATTGTTGCCAACAAATTTCAAGAAAAACTGCAACCTTAGGGCAATCCAAAAATATTATTCAAGGTGTGATGATGACTTTTAAAAATTTAAGAACAACAGAATATTTTTCTCAGCTTTGGAGTGAAATAGAAACCTTTGCTAAAGACCATGACATATCAATACAAACACCATCTAAAGGTGATGCTTGATTATACATATATTTATTTATAATTCTTAATTTTAAGTAAATATTTACTTAACTAGGATGTAAAAGAAAAAGACAAGAGCCAACAATTTTTAAAGATTTTGATGTCACTGCAACCACAAGTGCTGAACATAGTATCGATGAAACTAATGAAACCATTGAAGGTTATTTTAAAAAAAATGCTTTCTTTCCTGTATTTGATGCTATCTTGGTAAATCTGGAAAAAAGGTTTTCTCCTGAAAGCCTCCAAATGGCTAAAGCTGTTGATCATATTTGTCAACTTAACTTTGAGGAAAGTGTTTTTTTTGTAGATCAATATAAAGTAAGTATTGATTTATCGTTTATAAAAATTAATTTCTACTTACACTCTAGTTTTCTATTTTTAAAAGTAATTCTGTATTTTATATATTTTTCAGGATTTGATGTGTGTATCTAAAGATTTATTGAAGTCAGAAATGGCAGTGGCAAAGAATTGTATATTGCAGTCTACTGATAAAGAATATATAACTTTAAAAGATGTAAAAAAGGTTTTAACAAAAAGTGTTTTTCTCAATTTATATAAATTATTTCAAGTTGGTATAACAATACCAATAAGTTCCTCAACTTGTGAAAGGAGTTTTTCAGCAATGCGTCGAATCAAAACTTGGCTTTGAACTTCCATGTTGCAGGAGCGGTTCAACAACACATCAATATTGTATATTGAAAATAACATAACTAAATGTATTAATACTGAGACTGTTATTGATATATTGCAAAAAACAATAGATTAATAACATTAAAATAAAAACAGATGTAATAGCTTTAAATATTTATTTTTTATGATCATATAACCTATACATATTTGGTGCCTCAGCTATAATAAAGTAGAAGAGCTACTAGCTCGCAGGTTGAAGTGCCTAATAATGTGTTGACGCTAATGGATATGGTAAAAATGTTAAGCCCCCCCACGGATGTGACCAGATATCCGCCTATGTTAATGTGTGATAAGTTGAGGCATGAAGTAATGGATCTAAAACAAATAATTATTGATAATTTTGTTTATACAAATTGGGTGCATGTGTAGATATGTAGTATAATATTATAATATAATCATGTATTATCTCAGTTAGGGGCGGACTTTGAGATAAACGGCACAGTATCCTACAACAATTTACAAAAATAACCTCTTATATTGTTTACGGCATAAATCTAGTTTAGGGGCCAAGCGATTTTTTCAATTTTTTTGTCGAAACTTATGTATCTCATCGAGTTAAGAACGATGGTGCAATCAGAATTTGTCGCTCTCATTTAGTTCCGAAGTTATGGCCTTCCAAAGTTTTCGATTTTACGTTTATACGGATGCGCGCAACACTACTATAATGACGCGCGGAGAACCATTTTTGTTATTTTTTGGTACATACGTATTCGGTATACCTTTTTTTTTTTGAAACTTATGTAGTTATGTATTATGTACCCTGTGACATACTTGAGGTGGTGTTGCATAGCAAGTCGGGGGATATTTTCGATTTGCGGAGCGGAGCGACGGCGCCGAGGAGCGTAGCGACGAGTTCCGATACACGCGTTATGACTGCCCATATACTACGACATAACTTTTCCTGTAACCTACTTAAGGTGGTGTTAATGACTTACGCGTAATGACTTTGAATTGCCATAACTTTTGAACGGTAAGTTTCCGGAAATTTGTCCGAGGGCAGAGCAGCGAGCGAGTGGCCACGCTTGCAGATAATATACATCAATTATAATTTGAAAAATACGTAAGAAAGATAAAAATTATTAAGTGTTTATAACATATACGTAGAAAAACCCATGTATTAATCGGGATACGTAGATAAAAGTTAGGTAAGCCTATACGCACCTGCTGAAAGGTTAAATGTAGGTAGTTGAAAAATAATCGAAAAATAAATTTGTCATAACTGTTAGTAAAGTCACGTTATACTTGTAGTTTTAAATTTTACAAAATGTCTGATCTTAATTTTATTGATATCTTTGAGTTGTTTGAATATAAAACCAATAGACCAGTTTCACTAACTGTGATTCAAAAATTACAGTCATGGAACTTGATGGCAACTGACAATTCATTGAAGTGCGACCAGGGACATAATTTAATATTATGTGCTAATTTGAAAGCAACGGATGGGTTTCAGTGGTGATGTCGAAAATCGTATGTTTATAAAAATAAAAAAAAGTGAATTGTAATACACGACTGTCGGTACGGAAAAATACATTTTTCCATAATTCACATTTATCTTTATACCAAATTGTATCTTTCTCATATTTATAAAAAAAATTGTTAAAAAAGTCGTTTTTGGTTATTTTTAACGACGATACCATAATATTTTTAAAAATCAATTTTTTACCGGTTTTTTTTGTATAACTTCCGTAATAAAAAAGAGCGACAATTTTTTCAAACAGATTCAAATTCAGGGCCTTAAAACACACATTTTGAAAAAAAAAAATTACAAACAAGGTTTATGATTAAAGGGAGTTGCAAATATATACCTTATATATTTTTTATTTATATAGTAACATTTTATTGTTTTTGCTAAATAAATTATTATTTATTATTATTAAATTAAAAATAAAACATTTTCTTCATGTAAAACGATAATATTGAACGGCTAATTTTAATTAAATACTTTATCTGTTTTTAATAAAATATTATTTGTTAAGTACTAACAATGTAATTTAATTTAATATTGTTTTTTAATTTATTATAAACTAACTGATCCCTTGTACTTCGTTACCCGTTAAATGTACCAAATCTATATGACTCAAACTTTGTTCAATTCGTTATTTAATATTCAGTGTATGGTGTTCAAAATTTATGTTAACTTTTCCGTTGCCTGGAATAATAATTCTGATTCGCAGAAGTATATTATCAGGTAGGTGGACCTAGGAGGATCGCGGAACCCGTACTGTTTGTACGTAAGTGTATGATTTAATTCTAAAGTATCAAAATTCAAAGTTATACCAAGTTTGTTGTCTTCCACCTATGGTGGATTAATATAATCAGGTAATACAAAATCCTAACCGTACTAATATCAGATGAATAAAAAAAAACCAAATTTAACCATTTTTAAATTAGCCCGTCTTCTTCCCAGAGGTCTAATTTACACACAAATATTAATTTATTTATATTTATATACGTGTTTTTGTGATGCAGTTTTGATCAATCTGGTAAATAATTTAACAAACAAATTGTTTTGGAGGTACTGTTTACTGCTATTGTTTGATAACTGAATGCACTTTTTGACAACCCGGTGGTCGGATTTAGCAAACAATTAAAAACTACTTTAACTGTCTTTGGGTACATTGATATCGATTTTATGATTTGTCATCCGAGCAGGACCGTATTGCGGTTTGGTGGCGCCCCTGGCGAATCACTGCATTTGCGCCCCCTCCCCCTCCTCCAAATTAAAAATATGTACATTAGTTTATAAAAACATTTGAGATATATAAAACATGTAAAAACACATAGTACCTATATATCAAGTAATAATAACTAATAACATACAACTATTGTCGCGGTCGTTATCGCAACGGCCGCGGTGTCTCTATCGACGTCCGCGAGATCGCGACCGACAACCGGTCTGGCCGCCGCCTGCGGCACGGCCGCCGGCCCGGCCAGCGGCGGTGGCGACGGGTGGCATCTCTCGCCGGACCGTTGTAAACGCCGCACACGACGGAATAGGAATAACGTGATTGTAATTATTTGTGCAATATATAATTTTATTCTGTGAACGTGCTCGTTGTCATTTACATCCTTTACAAACCGTCCACACACCTACATTGGCGCAGCCGGAACAGGAGTAAGGTAAGTGCTAATTTTAATAAAAAATAATTTTACGTAAATTAAAGTAAATTAGCACATATCGGGTTAAAAGAACCTACAATGGGTGTCCTGATCATACCGGTTCCTAATATTTTTTTTGTTATTCTGATTTTTTATTTTAAATAAAATATTAAGGGCTTGTCCAATCTAAGGTGGTAAATTGTAGCAAAATTTGCATAATTTAGCATAAATCCTACAGTGCTAAACTTGGTTTAGGCTATTTATAGATTGGAAAGTACATATCTCTACCAGCGATAGCCCGAGTTACGTAATCTCATATCTAACGTACTTTAATTAGGTAGATAATAGCAGTTAAATTTAATAATCACAATGGGTACGAAACACATTGGTGAATTAACTATTGCTGAGATTAACCGGGAGTTACATAAGCGTGGTATTGAGACCGGGGGGTCCAAGGCCGATAAACTCTTAGCATTAGAAGAGTATATTAGGGCTAAGGAAAATTTGGATCCAGGATCAGTACGGTTTGGGGAAACTGATGAGACGTCAGCCCAGGTACCGGAAGGGAAAACATCGGTGGCTCAAACTGAGGAGGATGAGGTCGACTCTGAAAAGAGTTTGATAAACCAGTTTATGGAGCAGATGTTAGATAGGCTGGAGGGGTTGGAAGCAACGGTCGACAAGCAGCA